GCTAAGATTACGGAGGTCGGTTAGCCAGTTGGCTACCGGTTCACCGGCCTTTTGGTTGCGGTGGTTGAAGAGCTCTCTACACCCTATGACACACTTTTTCTCAGTGGCATAGAGGTCGAACTCTCGCAGCACGCTCTCGTAATCTCGACTAAGGTCCTGGTCAACGACGTTGAGTCCAGTAGCCTCATCTTTCTTATAGGTAATCAACCTATCTTTGAAAGAGTCGTACACCTCCAGTGCATCGTCACCTGCTTCTCCAAGGAGAAGGGCGAAGCGCACAGTTGAGGTTGCTTTCTCCTGCTGTGTAGCGAGGAGGAAAATCTCAAATTTTTGTTTGAACTTTGACCATGAGGCCTGGATATTTCCAGACCTCAAGTTAACAACTCCAGGTCGACGGACATTAGCCGACGACACATTGGTGGCCATTATAGATGGGGTCTTTTTCCAGTAAGGAAGAACTAATACGATGAAACAACCAGGTCACACAACACTTTCTATACTACTTGCCAAAAAACTTCTTATTCACTAGGTCCGACTACGGCTGCGCCATGTTCTGTTTCTTGCACGATGGACGTGGATGTAGAAGCAGGTGTTTTCAGGAGAGTGAAGGGAACGTAGTGAGCAAGCCGGAAGTAGAATAGAGAATGATTTATTGGTCGTATTGGTGACGAGGAAAGGTGGGGGATGTCACGTGACCCGGGGTCAGGTGACATCACACGCGTAGCGCGTAGTTCGTGCATTCCCCGACAGGGGTGCCAACTGACGTATAGAACAGTGCCCGCTAACTGTCTCTCCCACCTCGCGGTGCGCCCCGCCCGCCGTGACCGCGGCCACGCTCGGAACACGATGGGCGCCGATTGGACTCTCTCGGCGCCCGCTTTTAGAGGTCGCGATTTTTCGCCAGCGTGTCGCCTCTATATGAGTGTTATTTTTGGTGCGCGCGACGGCGCCGTAGTATCGCTTGGGCATTCCGCATTTGGGAAGCGGACGGGGAGGTCGCCGCGCGCCCTCGCCTCGCACCTGCCGGGGAGAAGCGCGGGTGGCCTTGCGGACGGGGCGGCGCGAGGCGCGGGCGGAGAGTTCACGGCTGCTGGCGGAGGCCGCCGGGTCGCGGGGGAGGGCCAGTCGGGAGTACATAGTACCGTACGACAATGCACACGCACTTTGCAGCGGCACGGACGTCACGCTTTACGCACGTCGTGGACGACTGTTAGGTCGTGTCGTCTTTCCGCTACGGCACGTCAAGTGTTGCAGGACGCCACGTTGCCTCTGACGAGGTGCACGGCTGCCTCGGCGGCTGCCCTTCCCTCCCCCCGAGGGTACAGTATAGCGAGTAGAGTGGAGCATGCTACAGTATCGACCCGATTGGAGGGCTGAGCAAGGGGCCACCGGGGGGGTCGGGGCCGCCAGGCTGGTGGGCCCTGGTTGGTAGGTATGGGCCCCTCTCTAGACTCTCTCGAAAGGAACTAGGTCGAGATCGCGCAGGAAAGGGACTTCCCCTGGCAAACAAGGCCGGCGAAAAAAAGAAAGAAATGAAGAAAATAGCGCGCCGTCAAACTATAGGTAGTTGAGGCCACCCCTGTTGCAGCAGGACCGGCGCGGGGAAGACCTCCAGGAAGCGTCCCGGCGCCGCCGCGCCGACCTGGACGGATGGAACCCCGGCGCCGCGTTCGACACTTCGGATAGCTGTTTGTTGGTCGCTGCTGCAACGGCTGCTGCTGCCGCTGTTGTTGTTGTTGCACTACACGGCGGGCGGCAACCGGGAGTCGTGGAATTTTTCGTCATAATTGTGGATCATGGAAGCGTTATAGTCGCAAGCGTTGCGTACGTCGCATGTCTGGCGATACGATTGCTATGTACGCTCGAGCAGCACGGGCCCGCGCTCGCGTGCTGAGCCGAGGGGGGCCGGGGGAGGGAGAGATAAGACCAACTTGCACCGCGCGCCCGCCGCCCGCCGCCGCCCGCCGGGCATGCGCGCTATAGTTATTTGACTGAAAGTAAGGCGGTATCTGCAACTATGTATATACCACGGTGTGTGGCTTGCCTGGCTGGCTGGCGGCACGAGTGCATCATCGCAAAAAACTCCCCGCGGCGTGGGAAGCGAGAGAAGGTGGCGGCGGAGGAGCGGAGCCATTGCCAAATTCTCACTTCTTTAATATTTATCATTTGCGCGCATGTATGCCGGTTACTCTGCTGCAATCGCATGGGGCTGATAATCTGTGGGCATTTTCCCCTCTTTCTCTTTCCCTACTCAGCCTTTCTTTTCCTCTTATTGTCCGTCTTTCTCCTCCCCGCTTATCCCTCCGGTGACGGCGGCGCGTGGCCGCGTGGTCGTGCCCCCCCCCCCCCCCGCCTCATCCCGCGAGGCCAAATCGCCTCTCGCCCTAGTTGCCCATTCAAATGTAGGGAAATGCCTTGCGAGGCCGCCGGGGCCGCGGGCCGGACGACCTTGTGTCATTGGTGCAGAGGTTAAGCTACGCACAGAGGACGACCTTTCCGAAGGCTGAACGACGGTCGGGCGGGGGTCGTTTGTTGTGACGCGGGCCCGGCCGTCCGCGGGGGAGGGGCGGGGCGTCTGACCCGGGCCTTGACCGCGGGGGTGACACCGGCCGGCGGGGCGCGGCTACTACTGGGCCAAGGTGCGCCAACGGGCAGGTCAGCCCAGCCCGCCGTCGCATCATGGACGCCGTCAGGGACGCCGTCGGCGTTGCCTTCCCTTCCCGGTGGTTGGCTCACCCCCTGGCCTGTGCACTGACGGTGTGCTCACCTCCGCCGCGGCCTCGGCCTGTCGATGATGGGGCAGGAGCTCTTTGGAAGGGGTGGTCGGCTGGGGGGG